GGGAGGCCAGCCCATGGGGGAGCACAAGGAGTATTTGATGCTCAGCTGAGCTCCTTGTCCCTCCCATGGTCTATGCTGGCAGGAGCCAGTGCTAGGCCTAGGGTGCACTGGACAGTGAGAGAACAGTGCCCAGCCAGGAAACAAAAGCCAGCTTGGAAAAATGACTGAGAAAGGTGAGGCATCAGAGTGGAAGGGTGTGGAGTCGGAGAGGTGTTCAGGGCCTCTGCCCTCCGTTGGCTGGGCGTGGCCATCCCTATGGAAATGTCCCGCTGCGCTCCTGAGCACTTTGAGGATCAGACACCGCCCTGGAGGACCAGACCCAGCCGCTCCTCCCAACTCCACATTTTGTGAGAACACAGTTCCACGGGATGAAGGAGAAACTTGAGAGTCTTACCTAGAGCATTATCGAATTGCTTAAGAGGCATGGTATTGTCCTAGCTGGTTTGGCTCAGTGGACAGAGCGTTGGCCTGCGGACCGAAGGGCCCCGAGTTCGATTCTGGTTAAGGACACATACGGTGGTTGCAGGATCCTCCCTGGCCTGAGCCCTGGGGGCTTATGCAGGAGGCAATCAATCCATGTATTTCTCTCACATCCATGTTTCTTTCCCTCCCTCTACTCTTCCTGTAAAAAAAAAAAAAAAAAAAAAAATGTCAATGGAAAAATATCCTTGGTTGAGAATTAACAACAACAACAAAAAGAAGCATGGTATTGAATAATCTCAAGGAGTGGGGGGAGGGGGCGCTTTTCTAGAATAATCCTCATCCTGTTAGATATCAGGGAAGTGGATCAGACACCCCTATTTCCTGTCCTGAAACAGTTTCTCCACTTCGGCAGCCAGAAAAGATCTCCTTCCCTCCAAGGAAGGAACATTTAGTTACTGCACCAGGCCCTGGGGCCCATAGCTCTTGGGAGAACTTCGAAAACCCTACGATAGGGGGGTGACCTTGCTAGGGGCTCTGAGGGAGGTGCAAGGCCCTGGTCTCTCGCTTGTGGGTCTCCCCCCCCCCCACCCCTTGAAGGAACACTGGACAGTAACATTTGTGGGAAGAGAAAATGACCTCTGATGGGAAGGTTAGGATGAAAATACCCCCAATCTGTAAGCAAAGGAGTAGGAGTGTCCTGGAGGCACATGGGGGCCCCACCCCCAATTTTTTTGTCCTGGGCTTGGCTTTAAGACAAGTCAGATAACATGCACGTCTGGATGCTTTTCCTGCGGCCTCATTGGAAGCATTGATTAGGAAAAGTTTCCCACCTTTGCCCGAGGCCAGTGAAAATATTCTTCAGGTCCAGTAGAGAGAAAAAAAAAAAAAAAACACGAGACCTGGTCTGTTTTAGCTCACCCTGGTGTCCTTCCTGAAGGTCTGTGGAGTGTTGTTTACTAGCTGTTCCTGTCACCTTCCCCTGGCGTTGGGACGGGCACCCAGCCAATCCCTGCCTCTTCAGTTCCTCAAAGAAACAACTGCAGCCCTAGCCAGTCTGGCTCAGTGATAGAGCATCGGCCTGCAGACTGAAGGGTCCTGGGTTCATTCTGGTCAAGAGCACACGCCCGGGTTGTGAACTCCATCCCCAGTAGGGGGCGTGCAGGAGGCAGCCAACCAATGATTTTCTCATCATTGATGTTTCTAAACTTTCTCTCCCTCTGCCTTCCTTTCTGAAATCCATAATTAAAAAAATACTCTCCAGGAATATTATAACCATTTTGCCCAATCTGAACTAAAATAATAGAAAAGGGAAGGGACATGGGCAATAAACATATGTTGAGAACCTAGAATATTCCAGACCTTTGTTTCAGATCAATGGTTGGCAAACTCATGAGTCCACAGAGCCAAGTATCAACAGTTCAACAATTGAAATTTCTTTTGGGAGCCAAATTTTTTAAACTTAAACTTCTTCTAATGCCACTTGTTCTAAATGATTCGCCCACGCCGTGGTATTTTGTGGAAGAGCCACACTCAAGGGGCCAAAGAGCCGCATGTGGCTCGCGAGCCACGGTTTGCAGACCACTGTCTCAGATGATTCTCACAATGACCCTTTGAGGGTGTTGCTATCCCTGTTTTACAGACAAGGAATCCAAGGCTTAGAGAAGATGAAAACTAAAGAATTTGTGAAAACTAAGAATGTGAATCAGGGTCCGTCAGACTCCAGAGCCCACGTTTCCCTTCCCGTGACTGTTGCCTCCAGTGACCTCTCCAGTCTGTTCAGAGGCAAGTCAGTCCCACGGGAAACCCCCGTCTTTGTTTGCCACGTGATCTGCACTCTATGTTCACATTGAAACGTATCGCAAAGTGCTCTTGCTCAAGTTCAGCATGAGCAGAGTTAGTTAGTTCCCCGAGCTCTCTGAAGAAACGCATGTCTCTTTTAGGAAGCCACACATGAGAAAGAAGCACATTCAGTTGGATAATGTGATGATGGAAACACAGACCCCACAACCCTGCTCCCTGGATGCGCCCAAAGCTCAGATTCCATTCTGAACAAGGCACTCACGTGCAGGAGCAGACCACGGACAGTCAAGGGCATCCTACCCTGTCCTGGTACATCGCTAGTTGGGCTCCATTGCAGCACCATTTCTCCCAGCCGCAGGTCAGAGCTTGCAGACTCCATCTGTGGAGGATTACCAGTGTTTTATTTATTTTTTATTTTATTTTTCTAAAGATATATTTTATTGATTTTGTATAGAGAGGAAGGGAGAGAGATAGTTAGAAACATCGATGAGAGAGTCATCAATCAGCTGCCTCTTGCACACCCCCTATTGGGGATATGCACACAACCAAGGTACATGCCCTTGACCAGAATCGAACCCGGGACCTTTCAGTCCCCAAGCCGACGCTCTATCCGTTGAGCCAAACCGGTTTCGGCGGATTACCAGTGTTTTACAATGAGGTACCTGCCTCCCCTCTCATAGGAATCTCTGCTCCTTATAGAACATTCATGGAGCCTCTCTGTGATCTTGTTCTGACTTCCCAGAGATTTCTTAGGAAAAAGACCATTTAATTAACAGAGCCATTCCATCGTGCACACACACAGGCAATCCTGCAGGAGAAAAGAGGCATTGATTTCTGAAAATCATCCTCAGACCCCATCTCACATTTCCCAGTTAACAAAAATGGTTCCTTCCATTAGGCAAGTATGCTGGCGGTATAACCAGGAGTTAAACGAAGTACTAGAGGAAAGAGAGAGCAGGAGGAAAAATAGTCAGTGGACTGAAGAATAATTTTTCTCTTTGAATTTCTCTATTATGTGTTTGATGAAGGGAGAGAGACCACCGCCACACAATTTTTACATTTTGCCCCTGGCCAGTGGAAATATTCTTTAGTTATGAATTCATCTTACTTGTGACTTTGGGACTGGGACAATAGAAGCTTTGGGAAATGAAAGATAAATAGAATCATAGTAGGTGATTGAGGTTTTATTTTGTTTTAAATGTATGTGACCAGAATCTAACCTGGGACCCTTCAGTCCACAGGCCAACGCTCTACCCACTAAGCCAAACCGGTTAGGGCTGTTTTTTTGTTTTGTTTTGTTTTAATTTTTATTCTGTCTTCATGAGTTTTGGGGGAATGTAATAACTTCATACAAAGTTTTGAGCCATTTTAAAGGCTTATAAAGAAGGTTAGATGATGATGGCATTTGAAACATAAACTGGGCAACAACCTCAATCTATGTCATGTTTTTTTTATATTTGCATATATTATAAATTTTAAAATATATATCTTTTAGTATATATGTAAATTATGCACACATCCTGTTCTACTTTGTAAGAACTAAAAACACTTAAATTTAGGATGGCTCTATGAAAAACTGGAGCCCTTAAGTTATACATGAAAATATATTAGTTGTTTGAAATTCACATATTTTACTAATCACTATACTCAACATTAGGTTTTAATCATTTCCTGGAACATTAAAATGTACTTTCCATATTAGATATAATACAAGCTGTTTCAAAATTTTCCATAATATCAAATGACACTCAAAACCACCTGCATCCTTAGGACCAGTTTCCAGTATACTTTAGGATTTTCTTTTTTCATCTTATCACTTGTTCTCATAAGATGTTGCTCTATTTTTGCTCCCTAACCTTACCACTTCCCAATATTCAGAAACCAAAGCAAATAATTAGTCTGATTTCCTGCAGAAAAAAAAAATATTAGGTATACCATCATTCTTTCATCTACCACAGAAACAAATTATGCTTATTTTATTATTATTTTTTAAATCCTCACTTGAGGATATTTTTCCATTGATTTCTTGAAAGAGTGTAAGGGAGGGAGAAGGGAGCAGAGAGAAAAACATTGATGGATGAAAGTGTGTGTGTGTGTGTGTGTGTGTGTGTGTGTGTGTGTGAGAGAGAGAGAGAGAGAGAGAGAGAGAGGGAGAGATTGGTTGCCTCCTGCGAGCGCCCCTACCAGAGCTGGGGAACCTGCAACCCAGGTATTTGCCCTTAACCAGAAATCAAACCTGTGACCCTTCAGTCCTTAAGCTGAGGCTCTAACCACTTAGCAAACCGGCCAGGGCTGTGCTTATTTGAGGATGTCATTTTTGTGTACTGTAAAATATATGTGTTGGTTATGTTTTATATATAGATTTCTGAGCTTGGGGGCCTCCAAAGAGGTACAGTCAATAATGCTTCCAAGATAACTGGGCTGCATCCTTATTTGTAAAATCAGAAGCCCTTAACTTTTCCAAATTTTAATTGAGCGCTCCTCCTCTGAAATTCACCCCACCTCATTCCAGAACATCCTTCTTTTACCAGTACTTCCTCCCACCCCACTCACTGACACAGACCCCATGTTGGGCCCCGGTCCAGGGCATCCCTGCATCCATAGTAACCAGACTTCAGCTTTCCTTCGTCGCCATGGTGACGGCTCGGCCGGCCCGGGGGTCGCCATGGTAACCGGGGGCGGGTACCAGGGTCCGGCGGGCTGGGCGCATGCGCGCGCACGCGGGGGAAAGCCTGGCCGCGCCACACGCTCACGACCCCTCGGCTTCTCCCGACGACATGGCGCTGCGGCGGCGGCGGCGGGGGCTTCTGCTCTGCGCGCGGCTGCCCGACTTCTTCCTGATGCTGCTCTTCAGGGGTGAGCGAGCTTCTGCCTGTTGGGGGGTTCTGGGGGGAGGGTAAGTCGAGGGCGATGGGAGCCGAGCGGCCGAGCGGCTGGAGCCCATCCCGGCGCGAATAGCGGTCCTGGCCCGGGCTCCGCGGCGGAGAGGACTCGGGTCTCGGGGAGAGGATGGGAGAGGATTCGGTCTCGGCCTCGAAGCGGGTCCGGGCGGGAGGCCCGGCAGCTGTGGCGGGGCTGGGCCTGCGGGGGACCCCGGGCGCGGGGAGGCGGGTGGGCGGCCGGTGGGGTCCCCGCAGCCCGGCGTCCAGCCCCGCGCCCTGGGGCTCCCGTGTGTCTCGCTGTAAACAAAGGGACTCGGTTGGGGCAAACCTAACTTTCCTTTCGTGTGAAAATAACATGGCTCAGATCTCACTCAAGCACTGTAAGGAGGGCTCTCAGACCCCGAAATAGCTTCGGGGCGATTCCGATCAGGACGTAGTGATGTACTTGGGAGCTCGGGTTTGTCTTTCCCACTGTCCGCAATTCCCAACAGAGCCGTGTGTCCCGGGACAGTTGGACAGAAGGACTGAAATAGCTTCTGAGGAGTTGAGGGCGGGTACTGTATCCGGGGCACTTGGAAACTAGTGTTCTTAGTCTATTTTTTTTAATTGATTTTTTTTTTTACAGAGAGGAAGGGAGAGGTATAACGGTCTGCTGCCTCCTGCATTCCCCTCCACAGGGGATATGCTTGCAACCCAGGTAAATGCCCTTGACTGAAATCAAACCTGGGATCCTTCAGTCCACAGGCTGATGATCTATCCACTGAGCCAAACCAGTTTCGGCTAGTGTTCTTAGTCTTTAGGACAACTTTGAGAGCTGGGTTTCACTAAACCATCTATATAGGATCTGGCCTAAACCTAAACCGGCAGTCGAACATCCCCCGAGGGGTCCTGGATTGGAGAGGGCGCAGGCTGGGCTGAGGGGGACCCCACCCCACCCTGTACAAATTTCGTGCACTGGGCCTCTAGTTTTCTAGATAAGAAAGCCAAGACCAAAGGCAAGTCTCTTTTCTAAGCTGTATCCCAAGTCAGGCGTGTAGACATAAACCCCATTCCGGACCAAGGACTGTACCACATTCTTCCTCCCTGGTTCTTAGGTCATTTCGTCGTCTGGCTGTTTTACCATTGTCCTCCCGTGATGTTTTGCGGAACATACAAGTGAACACACACGGAGAGAGACTGTCTCAGAGTGGGGGCGGGAAGGACAGGAGAACAAAGCATTCCTGTGTGTGATGTGCATTCACGTGCAAGTGCCCAGAATGGTGGCGGTGACAGTGGGGGGTCTGGGACAGAAGCTGTGAAAACAGGGCTCTGCGATGAAGGATACTGTTTCAGGATGGAAGTATGCGCGGTACACTTTGCCTGGAAAGTCATTTCCAGAAACGTACGTACGTGGCTGAGTGATCTAAGTGGTCTGAGGGGACAAGGGTGACAGGAATGCCCGGCTCCCAGCTTCGTTGGTCACACAGACACTGTCCTATTCACAGAGGGAACAACTCCCTATTGTTGGGGAGGTCTGCTCACATGAAAGTTTGCAGTTTTGATTGCAGGAGCATTTGGCAATGTAGTTCAGGAAGGCGTTTCAATGCGGTGTTTTTTTGTTTTGTTTGCTTTTTTTTTAATCTGGAAAACGCTAGGGGCTTCACAGATCCATAACCTCTTCGCTAGCCCTTTTGGAGGAGCTTGTCGGTGGCTTTCTCTATTTAAAGTTTGCCCTGACTGGTTTGGCTCAGTGGATAGAGCATCGGCCTGCGGACTGAAGGGTCCCAGGTTCGATTCCGGTCAAGGGCATGTACCTTGGTTGCGGGCACATCCTCAGCGGGGAGTGTGCAGGAGGCAGCTGGTTGGTGTTTCTCTCTCATCGATGTTTCTCACTCTCTATCCCTCTCCCTTCCTCTCTGTAAAAAAATCAATAGAATATATTAAAAATAAATAAATAAAGGGATGAGGTTTACCTGGACAGGAAAGGAGAAAGAATCACATTTTGCAGAATGGGGACTGTTGACAAAGAAGGTGCTAGGGGTGTGTTAATTCTCTATAGGAACATATTTATTTAGGAGGGAGCCCTTTTTCCATTAATTTATGTTCTAAATACATTTCCAGTAGCTTGAAAACCTTATTCTTCCACAAGTCATGATAGCTGTGCCTTTTTTTTTTTTTTTTTTTTTTTTTTTTTACAGAAAGGAAGGGAGAAAGAAAGCTAGAAACGTTGATGAGAGAGAAACATCAATCAGCTGCCTCTTGCACACCCCCTGCCGGGGATGTGCCCGCAACCAAGGTACATGCTCTTGACCGGAATTGAACCTGGGACTTTTCAGTCCGCAGACCTACGCTCTACCACTGAGCCAAACCGGTTTCGGCTTTTTTTTTTTTTTTTTTTTTTTTTTTTTTAATTATTCTTTAATTGCTATTGCTTTTTAGTATTCTCATTTAAACAAAAACACTGGGTTCCCAATATAATACAAATATTCTTCATCTGTTTCCTTTTGTCAGGCTGGATTATAAGAATTGAACATGTGTTCATTCGTTTACTACTAATAACCACTCTTAAGAGATGGTGGCTATTATTTTTTTCCATTTTGTGAATGAAAAAAACAGAAGTACAGGAAAACTCAGTAACTTGCTAAGGGAGATGTAAATTTGGAAATCTCCAACAGTTGGTGTTAATCCGATTTTTGATTACTCGTATTTTTCCATTCGACAATGGTGTTCTTATTATGGGTCAGTGTAACGGGATTCTCAAATGTTCAAAGCTGTGTGGTTTGTGTATAAAATATTCTTTTGTTGAACGGGTGACAGGTGCAATTCAAGTTTACAAATGTCCTGTCACACGTCTTTTTTCTTCTTTTCTTTTTTCTTTTTTTTTTTTTTAATTATTGCTGTTAGGCTCCCAAATCTTTGATGTCCTAGAATGAAGTGCTTTATTTAGAATTAAAACAGCAACCGTTTGCATTCTTGGGACAAGACAGTGTGCTGAAGCCTAACAACATTTGAAAATCAAAACTTCCAGGACATTTTAGAAAAAGAATACAAAGGGGGAAAAAGTTCACAGCTTTCTATTTGCATGTGTCTGAACTCTTGAAACGTTTCAAAAAAAAAAAAAAAAAACAACCCATTTTTATGCTATTTTAATTCTTTTAAATGATTTGATGGGTGTGATCACGATTGGAATGGGCGTGCATTTTCACAAAAACAAGGACCACCTGCCTGATGCCAGCAGCGCCTCCTGTCAGCTGTTCACACTGATGACTGGTAGGCATCTGTTCTTGGTTTTTCAGGCTGGGGAGCCTTATGGATAGCTGTTAGAAACACGTAATCATAAGAAATTGCAGTTCCATCCCGGTGGGATTATCCCACACCCAACTCCTTCGCTCTCTGCTGCTTGCTGTAGAGGCAGCCCAGGAGGGTAGGCTTAAGTCAATTCTTTTGAAGGAAACCAGATTTGTGTTAAGCTTTCTGAAAGGACCCAATAATCACTATTGAATAGTGCAACTGAAGAAGCTATCTATCTTGGATTTAGTACATCCAACTAGCAGCTGGTGGAGATGTGATATTAGCAAATTCCTCTTCTGTACATTCTTTGAATTTTTTCAGAGCACAAGTGGAGGAAAAGGGAGGAAGATATGTGTGCGTGAACGAAGCTAGGATGTATGGCATCGGCTGAATTAGGCATGAAGTTGCATTCTTTCTCTCTTCCATTTATTCTATTCGTGAGAGTTACAGATGTCTCCCATTCCACTCCCCTTTGCATACCTCCACTTGGCTCCCGATTCACCCAGGCCAGTGGTCGGCAAACTCATTTTCAACAGGGCCAAATACCAACAGTACCACGATTGACATTTCTTTGGAGAGCCAAAAACCGACTTCTGCGATGGGCCATGAAGTTTCAATCACACTGTACGTGTGCGCCCGCACATGGTATTTTGTGGAAGAGCCACACTCACGGGGCCAAAGAGCCGCATGTGGTTTGCCTACCACTGACCCAGGCTTTCACTGTTGTCTGTCCATATATGCATACAAGTGCTTTGGTTAATCTCTTCCCACCGGCTTCTCTCTTTTAAGATGTGTTTGCAGTCTGGTGGTTTGCATTTGGTACTGTGAGAGCTGCATGCAGATTGCAGATCTGTATGGACCCTCTGAAGGCTAACAGTAGGCAAATCGCCTCACTGGAGTAGGATCTGAACGTTTGGGCAAGCAAATTCTTTTCCACTTAGTTTAGCAAGGACAGTATCGACTCTGGAACCTGACAGTGATATGGAAAGCCTTCATTTACTGCTTCTGCCACTTGCCATCTCACACAGAAAGCTTCCTGAGAATGAATATTTGTCTCCATGACAAGGAATGCTGCCATATTTTGTTGGTGTGTTTCCTTTGTTTGTAAGGAGAATCTACAATGGGTTATATACTTCCTAGGAGTAGTTCATATGGACAGCAGGCGTTTCAATGCTGGTTGTGTAGAATTTTAGAGAGTAAGGGAGAGGGAGGGAGAGATAGAAACATCAACGATGAGAGGGAATCATCTATCGGCTACCTCCTGCTTGAACGGAGCCTGCAACCCGGGCTTGTGCCCCGACCAAGAATCGAACCATGATCTCCTGATTCATAGACTGACACTCAACCACTGAACCATGCTGGTCGGGATGAAACATCAAACCTTTTAATAAATGTGGAGTATGCAGTCTTTTTTTAATATCACCTTTCATTTCCAGAGAGCCCCAAGGCTGCTTTGGTTCAACCTTCTTTCTGCACATTATTGCCAAAATCCAAATCTGCCTTATCCATGCTGTGTGATATTTGTCTAAATGAGCATAGCTCTATTTCTGGCTCGGGACTTTAGTCCAGTTCAGCGCAGCAGAAACTTCCTGAGTATCTGCCACTCGCTGTTCTTCAGATTGGGGGTGCAGAACGAACACAGCATCCCCAGTCCTGGGGGGCCAGGGTGAGTGCGCTTCAGTTGCTGGGTGCAAATGCATCTTA